CTATGTTATTACAAGAATACAATATTGAAAAAATTATTCACATTAAAAGACAACAGAATTGTCTTGCTGATTATTTATCTCGTAATCCAATACAATCTGACCCTGAAGAAATATTTGAAGAAGACTATGGTATTCGTACACTATTTATTGAGGAACCGCCGGTTTCGGCGTCTGTTCCCGTTGATAAATATTCTGTTATAGGTGCTGTTGTTACACGTTCAATGAAGAAACAACTTGTTCAGCAAGAATCTGAACTAGACAAATCTTCATTACCACCGGAAAAAGAATCAGATTCATCTTCATTAGAACAATTCAAGGATTTATCATCTCAATCACAAGTTAATTCACATACTTGTAATCAGTTTGATACAAAACAAATTAAATTGGAACAAGCAAAAGATCCTGTTATTCAGAAAAAGGTTAAAGAAATTAAACAAAATCCTACACGTGGTTCATTTGTTTTGCACGAAGGATTATTATATAAATTGATGCCGATGAATTTATCAAATATTACTAAAATTAAATTAATTTATATACCTTCATCTATGATTAACTCCCTTCTCAAGGCTTATCATTCTGACTCCTTAGGTGGACATTTTGGAATACGAGATACATATTATAAATTAAAGAATAAATATTGGTGGCCGGATATGAAACAATCTATTGCTCAATTTATCAAGTCTTGTTTACCATGTCAACAGTACAACGTTAGTCGATCAAAAAGACCTGGTTTACTCTGTCCAATTGAAACACCAACTGGACCTTTTCAGTTAATTGGCATTGATTATTGTGGACCATTTAAACGTACTCCAAGAGAAAATCAATATGTATTATGCATTACTGATTACTTTACACGATGGATTACTGCCGTTGCTTTACCCGATTGTACTGCTCAGACAACGGCTCAAACAATTTTTAATGAATATATCTGCCGATATGGTGTCCCAATCTCAATTTTAACTGATCAAGGCACACATTTCAACAATCAATTAATGGAATCAATGACTCAATTAATTGGATATAATCATATATTATCTACTGTTTACCATCCACAAAGTAATGGAATGGTTGAACGTTTTAATGCAACTTTTGTGCCCCAATTGGCTAAACTTCATGATCGTGAGAACAACAATTGGGATGAATATTTATAATCAGTGGTATTTGCGTACAATACAGGTATCCATGCAGCTACTCAACATTCTCCATTTCAATTACAATTTGGTCGTGATGCACGTATGCCCACAGATACAACATCAAATTATGTTTTTTACAAACCATCAGATTATTACAATCAATTAAAGAAAAGTCTTAAAATTATCCAACAAAATGCACGAAATCAATCTAATTTTTTTCATATGATTAGTAAAAAATATTATGATAAAAATCGTACCAATCCACAATATGAAATTAATGATAAAGTTCTGATTAAACTTCATGGTTCAAGATCAAAATTAGATCCACGCTATTCATTGACTCCAAAAATTATTATTCAAAACAACATCCAACTTATTACGTTCGAGATCAATCAAATGATCAAATTACTCGTGTACATGTAAATGATATACGTCCGATATTATTATCATAAAACAATTTTATTTTAACCTGTAGTTATTGATTTACAATCATATATTTTTTTTTTCTTATTGTACGTTTATTTGTATTGTTCGTGTTATACATTACGCCCTCTATCCATTTCTGTATCTTTTCTTTTCTTTTTATTCTTGGCTATGACGATTCGGTCGATTGGAATTTACCTTTTCTTTTCTCTCCTTTCCATCTTTATTGTTTCTCTTTGATAGTGGTATAAGTTGTTACATATCTATTGTTCGTTATTATCGATTCACTTTTCTTTCCTGTTGGTTATTTGTTTGTGTATCTAGTGTTATGTCCTTTCGTTCTCATTCACCCCGTCGTGATCTAATGGAATCGGCACGTGGTTCAAGTGGTAAAGCACAAAGTCGTCATCGTCGTAATATTCGTTTAGAAGAACAAAACAAAAATTATCGACATAAT